AGGTTCGAATCCCATTGAAGCCCTGATTTTTTTCAGGCTTCTTCTTTCCAATTGCTTAAATTGGAAAATTTACTGCGATGATCATTCTTCACTTTTAAGGCTGTGTATTTGTTTACAAAATAATGTAACAATTATTCTCTGTAGAAGATGATATATTTGCATTTATTTAACTGCACTGTAAAACACTGCAATAGAGTTTAAAATTAACACATTGAGTTATGTTATTTTGCTATAAAACAGTGCAGTTAGGTTGAAAATGAATCAAAAACCATTTCTGTTAAAAACATGTTGGGATGTTAAATTGACGTTTCATGAACATTATAAGTCGAAATGATTAGAAATAGCACAAATAGAAATATAAAAAGAGAATTCCTAAAGAAACAAACACAATATGAAAACAAACTTGATAACAATCAAAAAAATAATTCTTAATAATAATTATGTGCGGATAAATAGTTAAAAAAAAAAGCCGGGCAAAGCAATTTAGTTGTGACGAATTAAAGATCATTATTCTTCACAAAGAAATACATTAAACAACTTTACTGAATATTGTTCTTGTCAGATTGTAGATGACGGTGAGTTCTTTGAGATCTCTCCAGACTATGCCAGGAATATTGTGGTGGGGTTTGGACGTATGAACGGGCGCACTATTGGAATTGTTGGCAATCAGCCTACAGAAGCAGCAGGTAAGAATAATTTATTTACCAGTTTCTGGCATTAAAGGTTAGTTGGAGAGCAATGTAAAAATTTAAGGTGAGAAGTGTGGCATGGGAAAGTTCCTCCCCCTAAGCCCCTCCTCAATTTTCTTTCTCCTTGTTTCAGTGCTGCTTCCCAACCAACCAAATGTGTGGAGCATAGAATAATAATATTAAATTTAAATGGTATTGCATTAAGTAATACTCAAAACCAGTGATGTCGGCTTCTTTTTCACTGCTACTCCTTTTCAACACTCGTAAGTGCAGGCAAAACAGGTCAAGATTTCCTACTTAAAATGAGGTTATGAATTAGTTTTCATTTTATTTCACAAATTGATACTTGATCCAAAACTAATGATATCTACTAACAGTACCTGTGGCTTGTATTTTCCACTTCACTACAGTATATATTTCATGCCCTCTTTCTCACTTTCATTTGTGCTTTCAATGATATCAGGAAAAAGACACTATGAAGTTATTTTCAGGTGTGGCAAATGATCTTCCAATGTTAAATGTATGTTTATAGTCATGGTCAATGCACTTGCAGCCACACCTAGCTAGTTCACTGGAAAGATGCAACTATCTAGTAAATAAATATATAATGGGTTTAAAAATCCCAACTGGTGGGAGGAAGACTAGTTATTTCCAAGCACGACTGAGGAGCTGAAGTAGGTTTTTTTAATAGAAAACACTCCAGCTTAGTGATCAGAGTGGGACTTGAAACCAGACCTCCGGATCTCACATCTGGCGCCCAGATCACTCGGCCACACTACTAAATCATTTGCTTTTGCACTGCAGGCTGCTTGGACATCAATGCTTCTGTCAAAGGAGCTCGGTTTGTGCGTTTCTGTGATGCATTTAATGTTCCTATCATAACCTTCGTAGATGTGCCAGGATTTCTTCCAGGTACGTGTAGGTGACCCTCAGTCACCCCCGTGTGACTACATTTTCTTAGTTCTACATAAAATAGACACCTCATAATTCTTTGTAACTAGAGAGCTTAAGCATTGACGAAGGCAGCCCCGAGGACAACGCCTAGTAAAAAATGAATTTATATTTTACCTTCGAGTGTCGCAATTGTCTAGATCTGTTTAGTGCGCCTATTGGTCACAGAACTTCCTCACGTTTTATGTAACGCCAGCGTTCAATTCCAAATGAAAATACGGAAAATTAGCCGCCGTCGTTCCCGTTCCCCAAAATACGTAGAACGTGGTCATTCCACGTTGTTGTTGGGCAGAGGATGGCAGAGAAATGTTCAAAGATTTATAACACATGTGCACAGCCATTGTTCTACTCATTAAAACTTTTGTTTGGTGACGTTCTTGTTGCCGTTGCCCTCGTGGTTTGATTAAGATCTCTATTAATAATCAGTGAGAACATCTAGAGGCCAGTTGCCTTAACAAAGGAAATACCTTCTTCTTCCATTCAGCCTCTCAGTTATTGAAAAGGATGCTTTAAAATTGCAGAGTAATGATAATATCTAATCCTTTTGTAGGAACACATCAGGAGTATGGTGGTATAATCCGTCATGGTGCAAAGCTTCTGTATGCTTATGCTGAGGCGACTGTGCCAAAGATTACTGTCATCACCAGAAAGGTAAGCTTCACAGTGAAGGTGGGAAGGAACTGTCACTGTTACAACATTCGTCAAATTAATTAATTAATTAAGGAAGGAAGGAAGGAAGAGCATGTACGTAGCTACACATATAAAGGGAAGGTTTACATACACAGAGTGGCAGTTCAGTTTTTATGTGCGATACCTGTGGTATTCCACACTATTGTCATCGGCTGGTGTCTGTTAATGCAAATGAGTTTATATCCCACATATGTACCCTTTGGGTACCTATTTTTTTTATGAACGTGTACAACAACTCGCATTTAGAAGGCTATGTATGCAGCACTTAGCCAACTGGTAAGCCCCTCCAGCCGTTGGTATTCTTACCACTTTATGATTTACGTATTGACAGTTTTCCAATTATAGGAGCAGTGTTGTACATTTATATCTGCCTAAATTCACAAAGTCGTTATTTATTATTATCTTTGCACAAAGATACTCGCTGAAATTTGCTGGATTTCATTTGTTTGTCCCGTCAGAAGTCATTATCATTTAGAACATGCAAACCGTCATGGCAGCCATTGTGAATAAGGCCAATTAAATACTGTTAGACATCTCGTTATGTTAACACACTTGAATCTGAACAAACAGTGAAATTTTAGGCGAGCCTTTTGTAAATGTCCAAGGTTTTTATATCAGTGTTTTTGTTTTAGGCTTATGGTGGTGCATATGATGTGATGAGCTCAAAACATCTTCGTGGTGACTTCAACTACGCTTGGCCCACTGCAGAGGTAGCAGTCATGGGGGCTAAGGTTTGTAGCCAGTACATTATTAGAAGGTTTGAGGCTTAACTGATGTTAGGAATGTTAATGTAGACTAACTAGAGGGTCTGCATAGGGGTACTGAATTCTCAGTTATTAGTTAACTCTCAGTGAAAACTACATCAGCCTTTATAATCCATCAAATATTTTCGCTCGCGCGCAATTGGTTTAAACGCGTCACGTGACCGAATATTCCCCAGCTAAAACTGGCGAATATCCGAATATCCATTCTGTTCCTCAAAGCTCACACTGAGTTTTGCTCGAGCTACGCTCTCGGAAAACTGTTCGCTTTTCGGAACAGATAATGTCCGCGGACAAATATCTGAGCATATTTTCGCACCAAATGGAGGCTATTCGCTCCAAATGGAGGCTAAATTTTGCAGATCTCGGATCTCAGCCATCAGTAAAATAGATGCGTCATTTTACAGCTGGAAGTTAAAATTTTGACCAATCCTCCGCTATCTGTGATGTTTGGTTACAGGTAGTAGCATTTATATAATAAGCCAAGTTATTCTCCTATTTTGATTGGTTCTCGCACGATTGACGTCATCATTTCAAAATTTTTCCCTCTGCGTTTAAAATGGTGGAAAGTTTTGAGAATTTAGATACTGTTTTACGTGACTGGGGAAAGATAAGGTACAAAAAAAGTCTTGTCGAGGCATTGAACAGGTACGAGAGTCTGGAAAAGAAAGAAAAAGCCTTTTGTTCCCTAGGAAATGACTCAAAAAATTCTCGAGCAGTCACAGATCACAGAAGACGTCAAAATATGGTAGGAACATCAGTAATACACTCCGCTATCGCCGCGTGTGCCACTTTTTTGTTCTTACCACATTTTGACGTCATCTGTGATCTATTAGTGAACAGACGCACGACAACGTGGAATCTATTTGTTAATTATAATTGCTAAAACTGGGTGTAACAATTCGGGGGCTTTTCATGTAACGCAGGCGAACCAAGACATTCCTGCACATTTATAATTCTTTTTTGCGTATTTCTTACATAGAAGAGGGTTTAGGCAGCGGTTAGGAGGGGCAAGTAATGAAGGCAAGGGAGGGCTCTAAGTCTGATGATGGAGCAATCAACAATGTCAATATACAGACTGGAGTGATTCTGACCGACTTCACGGATAATAAATGTCATTTGTGGAAACAACGTTTATCTCTGTGTACCTTGTTTTCTAAGGGTGCTGTTTCAATCATATTTAGAGGAAAACCAGATATTGGTGAGTAACCGGTGGAACTCAGTTATTGGCAACCTAGAAATTTCTGTGAATGTCAGAGTTAAATGAGTAACGTGCCGCAAACAAGGCACATGTGGTTCTAACCGATGACGGGGACAAACACTAGTAAAAAAAAAAAAAACTTCGACATACTGAACTATATTAAACCTTTGGAAGCAGTGCAGGTCAGCTGTACAGAGTTGAATTTATACCCTTAATCATGTTAACTGTGATCTTTGTCAAACGTTTTGCGTGAAATCAACTTGTTGAAGCGCGTTTGAGACCTTTTGACGGCCTGCAAAGCGTACTTAAGTGCTTTAGAACGTAAGTCAAAGTATACACAATAGCTTAATTTTGTGCTTACAATTTTCGTGCTAATGCTTTGGTGAAAGAAATGTCATTTTGATGTGGCATAACAAAGGTAAAGGGTTATTACTTGAAGCTGTTTCACGTGTTAAGTGAAATCTCTCCACCATGTTACTTTTATTAGAAAAATACGAAGCTGAGTATGTGGACAGGTTTGCCAATCCATTCCCAGCAGCAACCAGAGGTAAACTATCTTCATGTCAGTCTCAACCTTGTCTTAATCTTGTTTTTTCTTGATGTCAGAATGGTCGTGACTAAATTAGTACGGCCGATTACGTGCGACAATGTGACCGTAATATAATAATATCCCACGGTTTAGAACAATACTATACGGGAAACACTCGTTACGCCTCCTTGGACCCCTCTTATGGAGCAAACTAAACCCATCGGATAGAGAGAGTCCAACACTGAACAGTTTTAAACATAACATTAAGAAAAAGGAGCTTTTAGAAGACTGCAGAAATTGTGATTTATATGTTTTTGACTTTAGTAGAAGCTGGGTTAAATTTTTAGGCTTACTTATATTACGAACACACGTGTAATAAATTAGTTTTGGTATACTTTAAGATTTTTACCTTTTAGATCATGTTACCTGCATTTGTGTAAATACCCTATTTTTTATTTATTTATTTATTTTTTTTTTTAATGTGTCCACTTACTATTCTGTTAGTATCCTCAATTAGCATACACGTGTAATAATTAGCTAGAATTTTTACCTTTTAGATTTTTCTACTAGTGCATGTGTAAATGTCCTGATTTTAATGTATCCACTTAAGATTTTATTGTATTCACGTTGGATTATTATTACTACTATTATTTTTTTTAAAATCTTTTTTTATTTTTTTACATGTCTTGTTTTGTACAATAATTGTGTGCTAAGAGATACTTTTTACAATAATTGTGCGCTTGGACAAAAAAGCCGTCAAACAAATGGCATCTATATAATAATCAAATCAATGCATGCGCTCTGATTGGTCAATCAGCTATGGTTTATTGTGCCAGTAAACTCATGGAAATTTCGCGTGTCTTCGGAATTATTATATAAAGGCAATAGACCACAAGTTTCTATGGTTTATAGGCTGATAAAGCACTTGGGATGTTGGAAGAACACTCGAGGAATTCATGTTCTTCCAACATCCCGCGTGGTTTATCAGCCTATAAACCATAGAAACTTGTGGTCTATTGCTTAACTATAGAGTGGTTGTAAAAACAAATAAATTTTGCTTGATTTTGTTAGGATTTGTTGACGATATCATCAAGCCTCACATGACAAGGAAAAGAATCTGCAGAGATTTAGAAGTACTGGCCACTAAGAAACTTGAAAATCCGTGGAAGAAACACGGAAATATCCCCCTGTAATCAACTGTCACGGCTAACTTCTAGCATCTCAAAATTGGGGATCAAGATTGTTGAATACATTTTAGAAAAAGCGTCTGGCATTTTTAACGTAATAAGGACATAAAAAGACAAAACCTCTACCCTCTAGCCTCTAGCATCTAGCATCTGCTAACCTCTAGCATCTCAAAATTGGGGATCAAGATTGTTGAATACAGTTTAGAAAAAGCGTGTGGCATTTTTAACGTAACAAGAACATAAAAAGACGAAACCTCAGGCCTCAATCTTGTATATTGCGAGAGATGCGCTTATTTCTGGATTAGCTATTGAAGAGTTGTATCCTCTGCCGGCAGTATTTTAATTTAGGCTCTAAACATTGAGGTTTAAAAAGTCAATAGTTAGATTTGCCACGAGTGTTTTGATGGTATGTTAATAATACGAGTAATTTCTCTAGACTGATTATTGTGGTGAAAAATATAATTCCAGCCACAAACCACTGACTTCGTCCCGGAGGAACATTCCGGCTTCGTTCTTCCTCTAGTCCTTTTCAGTTCCAAAAATGTAACGATAAATGTGTAATACTTACCTTGATACTAAAAGAATGGACCACATTTTTAACGTATATTGATTGTATCAATGTATGTAGAGTGAAAAACCATAAATCAAACTGTGAAAACTGGCATTGTCCTTTGCATCTCACCGTATGGACTGGAGTAAGGAAGGGCCTATCTGAAGACTTAAGATAGCAAGCGCCATCCCCACCTGCACACCCTCTTGAAATCGCCTCACTTCCATGCGCTTACGTCATGTGTAAACCAGTATAACCAATTTATAATTGCAACACGAAGTCAAGTAGGAGTTGTCAAGTCGAAGGTTCTAAACGAGAAAAAGTCGATAGTCGAGTCTAGTCGAGGCGGAGAGTCGAGAAAACGTGTGAATTCGAGTTTCCGAGCTTAAAGTTGATTTTAAGGAAAAACGAGTCTAACGATTATTTGCACACCCTAACGTGAGCCGCCACTCCCCACTTCAGAGAGAGTATCAGGTGAAGACGTTTGACGTACTTGGCATTCGGCAGAGCCACAGATACCAGCACCAACACTGTGCAGGAATATTACCCAACAAGGCGTGCTCCACAGTACCTACAGGATTATGCGTCCCTCTTAATATTTATTGTTTCAGTTCTGGGGAAATTCAGGCATTACACAGGAATCAGCTGAGGTTTATTTCGTGGGACAGTCATTTGATTTTTTTGAAGGACTTGAATCCAAAGGAGAGGGAGGTGGAAGATGTAAGGTGTGCGTGATGTACATTGGTACACATGGCCTAAACGTTCTAAAAGTCCTTTTCAATAAGATTTCCCTGGATTGTTTGTTTGTTCCGCCCGCGATTTACGTCGCTAGCGCTCGCAAATTCGGCGTTCGAGGATGGCGCTCTCGCTTCGCTCGAGGGAGATGATTAAGCGATGGATTATGCGAAGGTCGACTTGTGGTAGGTCCACCCATGGACGTCTAAGTTGTGTGCGGTTCTTTGGGTTTTTTCATTGTACCGCTCTTGTAATGAATATACTTGAGTGCCCTACATGCAGCTGCCTCGTATAACGGCGGTGGTGCAATAGGTTGGAATTTGGTGGGATTAGCTGGAAATATATGTCCAGTGTATGGCCTGGGTGGTCTTGGGATCGAGACGGGTAACCTCCCTGCAGACGCTTTTTTCATGTGAAAGGAAATGGTGGGTGTCTGCACGCAGGCTATAAAAAAATGGTCGAGAGTAAAAAGAAATTACCCTCTTTAGCATTACACTGTAGGAAGCTTGTGCTCGTTGCTTGGCTGGGGGCTGTAACCTACAGCTGCCTCATAAGATGGCGGAGGTACACTTGGTAGCGGTCCGACAGGCGGATAAACGGGAAATGCAGGTCCGCTATATGGACTGTGCGGTGAATACGGTGCACGGCTTTCTTGAGCTGGATAATTCATCACTGCAACATCTGATGGGATAGGTGCATTTGGCTGAGATACCACTGGATAAGGAGGAAACGAGGGTCCTACAACATCTGAATTGTGAGCTGGGTACATAGTGCTAACGTCTTGGGTTGGATGGCCTTGTCCGAGGTATGGATTAACAGGTGGATATGCTGTTTCACCGCTTTGGATGGTGGGATTGCCTCCTCCTGGATTATTCATTGCAGATATTGGGTAACCTGGGCAGCTGTTGTCAGGACCACTGGAATTCACGTCTGAGAATGCATTGTCATTCGGTACTGCAATGGGATCCATCAAGTCTACCTCGATCGGTGGTGTTGTGCTCTTGTACATCTTTTTCTTCAGGACATAGTGGGTCTTAGCTGTCTTGGCTCTGAATAGCCAGCGGTAAGGCCAAGTCATCTGCAACAAGGTGGCAATCCAGAAGAACCGCGGCCGAATCCAAAATGGCTTCACCCTTAAATCCACGTACGCAGAAATCCGCTTCATTAGTCCAGGAATTTCTTTACTCGAGGAGTAATCAGTGAACTCATCACGATGGCGATTTCTCGCCAACATTGCTGCCACTTGTCGCACATAGCCATCTGCAGTTTCTTGGTCGCCAAAGACGATGCTTGAGTCGATCTTGACTAAGGTTAGAGCTACAGTACTTAGAGGTGGCATATCGTTTCCGGAAACATCAACCCACGAACCGAAAGAGAATCCGTCACGGTCTACATACGTCACTACTTTCTGTTTCTTGGTCTCCGTGCGGGACTGCTGGTTTCCGTTAGCGTCCGTGTAGTGAACAACTCGCGTTTGTGTTTCGTAATGGTAGCATTCTACAACCATATTGATCCTCGGTGGAACCTCGTGCATTCTTTGCATGTACCCCCAAGCCGTCTCGTCTTCCATGATGTTGCTGAGGTAATCGAGTTCGTGAGAGACGCAGCTCTCTAACAGAACGATCACAGGAGAAAGACAAAGCATCACAATAGCGAAGATTCTCAATATCTCAAAGACTGAACCGTAGTTAGTGCAATGGGTCACGTCACAACCAACATAGTAGATAAGCCAAAGATAGAATGAGAAAAACGCGTCCATGGAAATGATCCTGCATAAACTTGCATTAAGGTGCTTAAGTTCCTCCTCCTTACTTTCCTTTTTGTATTCTTTTAGTGCTTGTCGGTATTCTTTGATGCCTTGGTTGAGTTCTTCCTGACTTCCCGCTGTGGAAACTCTTTGAAAACGCCTTTCCAATTCTTCACCAGCTTTCTCCATGCTACTGTCGTCGTCTTCTTTCTTCTCCTCTTCCCTGCACGATTGCCTGCACAAAGCACAACACCACAAGACGAATGGCAAAAGGATCTGCACGAGGACAGCCACGGTGATCACGGCTGGGACTACACTAGGGTTGTCATCATAGTTGATGGCCGGTTTAGCCTTGGGCGTGCCTCGAGTAGTTGGGTCTTTGGCTGAGCAGAAAGATCCTTGTCCGCTCCAGTACGAGCTATAACTGCTAGGTACACACAGATAATACCTCGTGGAGGGATGCGATCCACTGCAGAATGCCATGCCAAGATCACCGGGTCGTTTTCCCAGGTAGACAAAATTGAGCTCCGTGCTGACTTTGGGCTGTGGTGTTGGGCACTGTTTGTTCACGGAGCATTGCAAAATGCAATTTGCTTTGCTGCCCCTACACAGGACTCTAATGTCGGGCATGTCAATCCAAAACCATCCATTGTAATATATCGACCAAGTTTTTCTGATGTATTCAGGTCTTAGAGCAAAATCCTTCACCCTCAGGTAAGCCTGGTCTTCGGAATTTCTTGGTCTGTTCGAACCAGTAACCACCCAATAGCCGTCCACGTACTGTAAATACCATTTCTGGTTGCTGTGAAAATAGACAGGACGAAGATTGAGATACGTGCCCTCTAGGCGAAAGAAATAGTCTTTTGCGGGATCGTTCAAAATGATTCCTCCTTTATCCTTTAAGTTCTTGCTCAAGGAAACTCTCTCCGAGTTACATTCTCTGAAATCTTTATCCACACAGACAGCTTTGATTCTGGAAGAAGACAAGGTCGACAGGTGGTATGTGGTCTGATCACGGGTATTGTAGAATTCCCAGTGGCTCACGATTCCACCAAATACATCATTCATGTCGATTGAAATCCCTGAACTCAACCAAGACGAGGGATCCCTATGAAGAAGAGCAGCAACGCCAAAATAGTCTTTCAGATTAACTCCAAAAACCAAATAATGTTTACCTTTATTATCGACGGTGTGATAAAATAGCAAGCTGCCGTTCTCCCTGCGAAAGACTGGGAAATTGTTGTGGTAATTGTCCTCCTCAATGTAAACGCCTTCGATGATTTTGTAGGGCATGGTGTTTTCGTCGATATTTTGAAAGAAAATTCTCGGGCATAACATCCTTGAACTTGTGAATGCAAGTAATGTGCTTAGCGTGAAACATAGGGAGAGATTTGACGCCATGTTTACGCTTTCGTGAAAGCTTCAATTCAAGTTATGAAAAATGGAATATTTCGGAGTGCTCATATATTCATATTTGATTCTTCAAATTTGAATTAAAAATTTAAATGGTTTCTCATCTGGTTGCAGCTGCCAACAGCTAATAATGTGGCATAATGATTGAAATAAGGATCATGCATGGCTCTCGTAAAATCTTCATCTTTTAAGTTTATGAAAAATGGAATATTTCGCAGTGTTGATATAATCGTATTTGATTCTTCAAATTTGAATTACAAATTCAAATGGTTTCTCATCTGAAAACAGCTGCTCACAGTGAATAAGGATGGCATAATGTTTAAAATTATGACTGTAAAAACAATGACTAACTCATATCTTGCTCAGAGATAGGAAGCGTTGTCATATAAACTTGAAGTCAACCTTCCGGACCTAATGACCTGAGATTCAGATTCACTGGGAATACTGGGATAATTTCTGAGTGCTTAATTTCGCTTTAGTGTTTCTTTGGGTAAAATATATTAAATCGGGATTGCGTGGTTAGTTTTTCTTTTATACGAAAATGCAGTAGTTGCATGGTGCGTACAGTTGTCCATTTGATTCTCATCCTTTCTGAAAATTGAAAATTCAAATTGGTGTGGAGGTTTTCTTGAAAATGATCTCGGTCGTGCCTCAAATATTGATTTCGTAGTTTTGAGTTCTTAGATTCAATGAGATTTAATTGACAACAACCGTCCGAAAATTACATCAATCTTTTGTTCTGGTTTGGAAGTTATGTCTTGAAAATGAATTTGGTCGTTGCTCAAATATTGATTTCGTATTATTTTTTGATTAACAAATAAAGAAGCCCCGACTGTGCTCTGTTCTGTTGTAAAGCACGCAGGAAGCGGTAGAGCACGAAAGAAGTGTAGCGGAAAACACGAGACGTAGTCGAGTGTTTTTCCCTACTTCTTGAGTGTTCTACCGCTTCCTAAGTGCTTTACAACAGAACAGAGCACAGTCGAGGCTTCTTTATTTGTTAATGACATAAGCAAGTCATAAGCATTAACAACTACGTAAGGTTTCACTTTCATCATGGGAATCCGTTCTTAATGGACAGGTGGCCGACCTTCAGACAACTGTCATATAACAACGTCCAACTCTGGACCACTACTTTCATTCATACAGTAATCCGTACTGTTGTATGTACAGTAACAGCGAATGCAACTTGAGAGATATCAACAAGAAAGATTTGAAGCATATGGCCCTGATGATTCCCAAGCCGGGATCTGTCAGCGGAAAGAATTGATTAGAAAGAGTCCGTAACAGACAACGTTCTTGGAAATGGAATTTCAATAATGCCAATTGGAGGTTGAACGTTAAGCCAATTTGCGGGACGCAATTTTACAACGCAGTTCTGGGAACTGGAAATGTGAAGTATTCAGACTGTTCGATTCAAACTACAAATCTAAACAAAAACCCGGCAATGACCACCTTCCTTTCAAGTCGTACCATTCGTTGAAACCGGCATCCTGCAGCGGTTCATTTGTCCGTTGTGTAAGTCAAGCTACTGATCCCTGTTTAATACGCTGTTTAATCCCTGAGACCATTGGAAATACAGACTTTCGTGTAAATACCTCTTCCAAATGAAAGGAACATTTGCATCATATTGTAACTCTTCCAGCACTCACTATTATCCCGCGACGCAAGACGTCCCGAGGACTATCTACATCTTTGCCTGTGTTGTAAACGCGATCAGCTCAGTTACATCAACTTTTGGGAACACTATGATTCTGCTCGCTCTTCGCGAGTGTCAATCTCTTCATTCTCCATCGAAGGCTTTGTTATGTAGTTTGGCTCCGACGGATCTTTTCGTTGGAGTGGTTGTTCTTCCGCTATTTACAGCTTACTACTTGAAGATCATTTTGGAAATACCCGGTATTACTGTGCCATGGCTATAACGTATGGAAGAAAATCAACGTTCATTGGAGCAGCTTGTCTTGAGACCATGGCAAGAATTGCCGTTGATCGATATCTGGCCTTCCATGTTTGCTTGAGATATCGCGAACTCATGAAACTTAGGCGAGTTGTTTCCATTCTTGTTATAGAGTGGATCATCGCAGCAGCTCGGTCGGGATTCTGGCTTTGGAATGAGCGAATCGATTTGTTTTCTTTGGTGGTCAGATTGTCTATTTCAGTTGTTGTCTTTTAACATCACTTTGTTACGTCAGTATTTATCGTGGTCTTCGACACCATGTTGCTCAGATTCAACAACAGAGGAATTCGAATGGCTCAACTGAATTCAATGCCGGTCAATACCGAAGAATTGTAAATAACATGCTATGGATCAATGGAGTTCTTTTTGTGTATTATTTGCCATATTTGGCATCTCTGCTTACGATACTTGCCACAGGACTCAGTTACACTGCTCGTTTTGTGCTACACTTTAACGCCTCTGCGATCTTTTTTAACTCGTCTTTAAGTCCTATTCTATATTACTGGAAGATCAAAGAAATAAGAGAAAACGTTATCGCACTTTCGCCATGTTTTCGTGCGCTGTACAACTTCTTATCATCTCTGGCATAGTACGTTAGCAAAGACTGCTGTAATATTTCATTTCTTACCAACTTTATCAACCATGAAGGAGATAAATGAGAGCAGGATTAATAACGTTTAATCTGTATTAACTATTTAGTAGACTTGAAAGGTACGTGCTTCACTGCTGTTTCATTATGTCATCAAATAACATTAGAAACATTATAATGTAGGCGGCTCAAATATTTACTTCACTGCATGGGATCCAACAAAAAATGATCTGGTCTAAAAGAGTTTTTCTAGGACTTCGAGAGAAACTCGACGCTTAGTATTATTATGCCAATGTGGAAGAACGTTTAGTGGGCATTCTTACGTATAAAAAAATCAAGAGATCCCAGTTTTGTCAAAAACACATACTAGCTGGAAATCTAAAGGTGTTCTCAGTCGAATGTTGACAATGTTAACTTTGTTAAAAATGCCAAGAAGCTTACGTATTAAAATTGTGTGATCATAAGTTAAAGTTAAATAATTTTTAGTAGGGTGCTTTGTAAATCAATGTGATTCTCCGCTTTGATTGAGCTGCGTTTCAATAAACAAATGTCCATCTTTCAATACACGTCTTGGTTTTGATATTAGAGGGCGCTATATAGAGCTGTAATATCTTGTGAATTTTGTGGAAATAAACATGTGAGAGGTAGAGAAGAATTTCCTACTACTATAACAAGGGTGCTGCATGCACGTTCGTACTTTGATCGAGCTTACTAAGCTTTTAGGCGCAACGTGTTTAAATAACGTGTTGATTGATTGAAGGGTGTCAAAGAGCTGAACAGACTGAAGCCTGAAGCCAGACAGTAGTGCAGATGAAAACGGACTTAACTCATAGGCATGAAAAAAGGCTCCGGTTGATAGGAAGGTCGATATTAAGTCCTATCCGGTCCGTACAGAGGATGACCATGTCTACAAGACGAGTCGGAGACACCTCAGGCAAGCCAGGGAGCCATTCCTAATTGACCATCAGACCTGTCGCAGCAGGACCAACCAAGAGGCCAATATCCCCAGTGACCATGTTTAGGGTGCCCCTAACCTTGTCTGACCCTTTCAAAGTACCAACCAGTTCTATAGTGATGAAGCCGAAGCCAGACAGTGTGAGAGCGACCAGGTCCAGTGAAATAGTCTAAGCCTCTGCTTCCGAAGTTTCTGCCAGTGAGGCGGCAGTCACCGTTACTCATCACTAGAAATAGCTGAGTGGTCAAGAAACCACCCAGATATGACTCTTGAACGTTGATAGGACTTTTGAGCAATGAGTAGGACGTTTGGCTATTTCTAGGACTGGAGGGCTCGTTTGTTAGCAGTTCTTTATTTCTCTTTTTAGTCTGTACCTCTTATTTATTTGTTTTTTCAAGGGGGACGTAGCGATATTTAATATGTCTTGCATGAAGTGTGTTACACCTTGCACATAGCCCTTATTAAGCGTGTTCGGTGAAGTTTATTAAACCGGCCCTCGAGTTGTGTTTTGTGAGGCAAGTATCTTATCTTTTTCGCTGTCCACGTTTGTCCTTTGTCCGGATGTATACTGAACGTTTGAGTTTAAACCTTAAGAGTCTATAACTGTTTTAAAAAAGGGGACTGAAACTTCTTCTTACCTAGGTCCATCTGTAAATTAAATTTTTTTCACTAGCTTTCACTGGCCCATTAATCCCCATCCCCTACTCCTACCTTCGAATAATAAAAAAAACC